ACGCATCGGCGACTTCTGAGGCACAACCGCGCCTCACTGCTTTACAGAGTAAAAGGCGCAAGAGCGTCCCGCCTTAGACGACACTCCCCGGCCGCACCGGAGTGTCATCTGTCTCGGGTCGTTTACAGCGGTCACATCGCCCCAAGATGTGGCCGCAGCGACCCTTAGGCGGCGATTGGGGAGTTAGCGACCCCTGCTGAGTCCCCTTCGCCGCTTCCTTCGAGCGGGATCGGCCCTCTCCCGATCCCGTTCTGCGGCCTCCTTTGGAGCATAACGTCCTCGCAGAAGAAGACCGCGGCTGCCCATCCCTCGCCACTCGCCAACATTGCCGCGATCAATGCTGGCGGTGACAGGTTTTGTCCGATCTGTCCGAACAAGACTCGACGTTCGGACTCCCATGCAGGGCAGTCCTCCAGCGTGTGCTGGGCGGAGTTCCGGTCGGACCCGCAATGGTGGCAAACCTCACGTCCAATTCGATTCAGATACTCACCGAAGCAACCGTGCCCGGTAAGCATCTGTGTCAATCGGTAGGTGACACAGTCGTGTCTATCTACCTACGCTTCGAAGCTCGGCAGAAAGGCTCCGACGGCGCATTGGCTAGCAAAGCCCTGGATTAAAAGCCTTGCCTGCCACGCCCGCTCACGATCCGGCGCGGCCTCCTCACCATTCCGACCGATAGAACGAACTTGGTCATAGACCATCGCGTCCATGTCGGCCAAAATGTCGAAAGGTTGATATCGCGCCAGGACCGACGCTGCCTCAAACGAGATCGTACGACCCGTATGGTCATCAATTTGCGCAAGATTGCTGGCAGGAGCTGGATGCGAGAAGCCCAAAATCGATCTAAGTGGCGTGCAATGGGAGAGGCCTATTCGACGTTTCGTCTAAGAGTCGCCGAATATTCATTAATCGGATTGCCATTGGTGCCATTTTTTAAATTTAGCTTCCGTAAATGTAAAGGGGAAATATTTTTTCGCTCGTCAGCCCTATACTGTAGGGTGACGTTAGTTATGCCTTTCATAAATATTAAGTGTCAAGACTATTTTTAAGAAATTGCTACATGTTATCATAAATACGAAAGTAACTCTGTCTGTCCAGCTGTCACAATTTTAATGAAATTTGGCATGTAGATACTTTGATTTTTGAGATATATGTCCTTTACATAGGCTACTTTCTACCGACATACACGCGGGTGGAGCAACGGGGCAAAAGCTAGTATTAAATATTTTACATAATTTACTATTTATTAAAAAAGTCAAGTACTTATCAGAAAAATCTAAACCAGTCTTAATCATCTACAATCTAACATATAAACATTATTCACATGAATATTGATACAACTTTATGAAACTATAAAAATATCTAAGAATTGATAACCATTAAGATTATTAAATGGAAACGGTCAACCTGTTACACCGATATATTTTAATGTGTATCATTATAATCACACTTTGTCTATGAATCTTAAATGAGATAAACACAGCTTTATGATACCTCAATTGAAGAGTTTACCTAAAACAAAAATTTTTCAAGCCTTATTGTAAACACAATCCCATCAAAAATATTTTTGCACCTTACGCCCCTTACCTTATGTGACGGTAGCGAAACATCCACAAGGCCACGTATTTTGACAAGGTGTAGAGAATGTGAAGTTAGGGCTTATAGAGTTACGTCGTGTAACTAGTTACGCTCTACATGAAATCTGAAATCTTGTGACAGTGCGAGCCATATAGACTCGTCTAGGCAACATTTTCCATGAAAATTTCTGTGGTTCGATTTCACTTTTTTGTAAGTTGCTTACGACTACGGGGGTCAAACTGAAGTGTAGTTTCGCATGCGCATTCCACCGCATGAGTTAGTCGCATGCGATGGAATCATTGCCTAAGGCGGCTGAAGTAGGAGGCTTCTTTAGGAATCTCTTCAACGACATTTCACGAATCCCTCTAAGTTCATCGTTTATTATTGGAAATTAATGAGTCACAAGGAGCCAGGTTAGTACCTTTAAGGAGGATAACTCACTAGTTCCCTACCTTCGTTCGACAAATACTTTTTCGATGGTTCGTCTAACAGAGTAGATAAGCTAGAGTGTTGTCGTGGTGGATGCTGCTTTTTTTACTGGCCTATTCTAAAAATTTTCAGTGTGACCTACGTATATTTTTTTATTTTCTTCATGTTTTCTTTCTTTTTTTGGGGTGTATTTCTTGCACATCAGAGATGCATTTTTTCATAGCCCACTTTATCCTTGCCTTTTTTTTGTTCGTTTAATCTTTGCAATAATTGATAGATCAGGGCGAAACGTAGTCATTATTTGAATATGATTTATTTCTCCCACAACAAAGGTTCATGTATATTTATACTAAGAATGTAATAGGACTACTATGAGTATATTATGAGTTACGCTATTATGAACCTTTATGATTAATGAATGAATCATCAATCATCATCAACAGCCTATAATAGTCCACTGCTGAATATAGGCCTCTCCTTAGAAAGGAGGTTTTGGCCTACTATACCACGCTGGCCAGACGGGTTGGTATAGGGCTTATGTCAAGTTTTCCTTCTCTTTATGTATTAATTATTATTATTACCTGTAATTAATTAAAAATATACATGTTTTATATTATTGCAAATATTTGTACCTTATTCATTTTGCATCATTACGTTTTAAATATGTACAATACATTTTTTTAGGATAATTTATTATAAAATCGCATCAAAAGGGTATGCTCCCAAAGTGGTCCCATTACCACTTAATCAGGATGTGATGATGGGATCCTAGAGAAATCGAGGGAAACCCTCAAATTTTACAGCCCCGACAACGGGTTTTAGTTTATTTCTCTAGCTTATCGGTATTTGCGTTTAGTAGTCGTTATGTCGTGTTGCTGAGGTGATGATGGAAGGGTCCTTGACTTTTAGGAGTTAGAGGATAACTCTTTCAAATATCTAATCCTGTATTGACCTTGTTTTTTTTTTTCTTTCAAGATATTTGCTAGGTGTTTTGCTTCCAACTGACGCAGGTCCTTTCCGGGCAGGCAGGTTCGGGAAGTCAGCCGCTAGGAGGGAATTGAGTCCCGCCTGTCACCACTGCGATTGCAGTAAGGATTCGGCTCAGCACACGCTGGCAATTTGCCCGGCTTGGACGTCGTAGCGTCGGATTCTCATTGTAGTCATTGGAGAGGATCTCTCGGTGCCGGACGTCGTAGGCTCCATGGCCGGCAGCGACAGATGTTTTACTGCAGGCTTAGAAGGCCCGGGAGGACAACCGCCATTTGGACCCAATACCGGTCCAAAGGGGTCCTCTTCTTTAAACAACAGCTGTTCCCAGATCCCTGCAGGCATGTTTAGCTCTTAAAGATACGAAGCGGTTTTCACAAGTAAGTAATATAGATAAAACCGCGTGGGGTTATCTTACGAGTGTTGAAAATGAAACCAGCCAATAACAGTTTTGATAATTATATTATACCTGCTATGAATGTAGGTTATCGACTTAAAATGATTTAATTATGTTTTCATTAAACATCGTTGGTTAATTGGTGTTCTTGTAAATTGGCAGAAGTTATTATATTTATTTTATCTTCGAAATGTGTTCCTATACTTTATTATTGTATAGGAGAAACGTGTAACCATTAGTTATTTATTCAAGCCTGTTACTAATAGTAACATTATTCCAGAGATGAAATTCATGAGGACGCATACCCGTTTGTTTGTAAGTATATCAAATCAACTCGAGGTCGTGAAGCTGAGTATCCAGTCGTCGGATACCTAGCCAAATATTGTCAATTGCTTATTATGGATGTCGATTTCTTAATTTTCACCCTTTTCTTTAAATCTGAATGGGACCAAACTTAAAGTAGGTAAGCATACCCTTTCAAATGTTTTTTTTTTAATCTGTTCATATATGACGGAGTTTTGAGGCAACAAACATAAACTGAGCAAAGAACTTCTGATTTATCACGCTGGAGGTCCCGTTTGGAAGCTGAAATAGAAAGTCTTTTCAACTCCATAATTCGAGATAGGTAACTAATAGACCCAACATTATTCAGACACTACTTGAGAATTCAAGTTGAAAGAGCTCGAAGAGTTGGGATTAAAAAAAACCCTTGCAACTAGTCTTTCAATGGTAGTTTATCTTTAAATCGGCTAAGGTGAGAGATAGAGAGAGAGACAAAGTTGGATGTAGGTATTTCGCCAAACTTACGAAACATTGTGCAATTGCTTTAATAAAAATAATAATGTAAAATTGATTTCGACTTTGTGTTTTTTATAAATAGACTTTTCAGGCTCAGGAGTTGCCTTTTAATGGGTTAAGAGGGTTATCTAGTTCTTTTTATCATAAAGAAAAAGTTATTGGAGTGTTTAAAATTTTCTCGAAAGAAAAATAATTATGAAATAAATATTGTTAAGTACAGACATGTTACGTGAATATTTAATTTTTTTACTGAACTTTATTCTAAATAAAGGTTTAAGCGGGTACCTATAGTAAATTAAAAAATAAGAGTAAATTTTCAAACAACGTTTATTGTTTTCATTTTGTTGGATTATGAAATTTGTTGGATTTGTAGTAAACCTACAAAATATTTTGTCATCATTTCTTTGTTTCTATCTATTAGTATCTAGATCTGATCATATAGACATAGAAATGTAAAGGCAAGCGTCAGTCTGATGTATGCTTAGATAACATAATATATTTCCAAATATTTTGGTATTCTGCGCTTTGAAGCTAATGCTAAAAGTCTTCTCTAAATAGTCTAATTGAACTTAGTTTAAAAGTTGCAATATCTGGAAGTATGAAGAAAACAATATATAAGTTAAAATAATCCTAGGGTAAAAAAATTGCCCGATCAGATTTTTATACATTACAGTACAAACATTACAGTATTATAAATTACAAACTTTATTGCTAAGGACTTACTATTACTATTTACTACATACACAAAATTAACAGTACTTATCTATTTAATCTTAACTTTTTAATAAATAACGATAATACTTGGTAAGGTTTACGCGCCGGTACGCTTACGCGTGCGATTAACAAGATACTCAGTAGTCCACAAAACAACACACAATACACAGCAGAAGCTCATGGCGAGGAAACAGTAGACATAGCTGCTTGTAGCTTCGTATATAACTCCTGAAACAAAAACAAAATCTCATCATTTTTTATTACAAACATCCGTCTCATGGCCTACAACAATTGGTTTTGAGAGTAAATAAGTACGGACTCCGAGGTGAGGGGGTCAGAGCTACTAAGATTTACTACATCTAAAAAATAAGGATAGAAAATGACTTACATTCGGTCAGAAACCGCATACGAGACTCAAGTTATAGGAATTAGGCATAGAAATTATTGTATAAATATTACTTTTAAATCATATTCGTCTGTTGAAATGATTGGTTTTAGTCACTGTGATTGTGATTTCGGCATAGACAAAAAAATGCCATTAAAGTAAATCTAAATTCTTTTTATTAAAGAATACGTTTTTTTATATATTATACCTTTCGCGAGTCTTGCGCTAGCGTAATATTAAGCCGTAGTGGTTTTATAAATTGTTTCTGTCTGTTGTTGCTTTTGTTTACAGAAAGTCAGAGACGATGAACCCGTTCACCCTGACTTTTTACTAATCAGAGAAATAGGCTATAAGAAGCCATTAAAGACAGGATAGGATAAGAGATCATGCGGCAACGGCCAAGAAACGACGGAGGACGACATTCGAACGCCACCATACAGGTACATAAATATGTACGGTATTTTCATATAACCAAATATAATTACCTATGAATAGACGAATATGGATAGACTTATTATAAGTACGTTAAGTAAGGAAAGTTACGTAACATATTATATATATTACGTAACTTTTAAAATTTAGATGTAGATAATTTGAAGTCATTTTGCAAGTTATGCAAAGAAAAACTGCCTAGTGACCTATCCAAATACCTGATATAAGTAGTTATGTTTGGCATAATAGTTATACCGGTTATGGTATAATGTTATGGTATTATTATTGGTGCTAATTCTGTTTTTCGAAAAGTCTCTAAACTAAACTAACAAATTTTTTGTTCTGCCAAATTCTACGTTTTCAGAACAGGAAAGGTTTTTGACAGGACGAAACAAATTTTTTGTGATTTTTAGTTTAGAGAGTTTTCGAAGATCAGAATTAGCACCATTGTCTATTAAATAATAAATTAATATAAATTAATTACATTATACTACTACTACTACTATTATAAATGCCTTATGTTCAGTAATAATAAGAGAATATAATATCTTGACGTATTTTACGCAGGGGCGTCTAATCCCCAACTAGACTGGGCCTGTAATACAGTAACTAGACTGCTAATAAACATACTTATATATTTCTACCAGCGACCTGATTCGGCTTTGCATGGGTAGTAGAGCCTTATCCTTTACCAAAATGGTCTAGGGATCGAGGATTTGGAAAAAGCTTCTTTCTATTATCTACTTACCAATCATAGGATCAGCCAATAACATCAGAACTCCAGAAAAGAGAATATGTAATGCCAGTGCTGCCGGAAATCTTTCAGGAGCAGCGGTTACCAGGACTAAGGGGAATAACACCTGGACAGTGCACCTCACTAATCCTGATATAGCTGTTATAGCAAACACAAACCACAAAGAGCTGGAACTTACTAAAGCTGAAATGTAAAAAGCCATAGTTGTAGCCATTTTAGTTGAGTTCCATTTGTAACTGGCAATTAATTTTAAATTTACAAATACGTTGTGTTAGCTTTAATTTGCAATTGTTTTAAGCTTTAAGTCTTTTTTTTGTTTAAGATGTGATCAATAGTTTACAAAAACACATTTCTTTGATATACATCTGCGCGATTAGATTAAGCTTGAATAAATTGTACATACATTGACAACCAATATGAGAAATATTGTAACTGTTTTTCAACCTGTTACATTTTTTAATATGTTTTATCATGCTTAAGTAATTAAACGATAAAAATCTTTGTTATTCGTTCGATTACTTTAGGTCCCGTCCCGATTATTAAAAAAAACGAGCAACATTGAAATTATATGACTAGCAACAAGAACGGAGTGCGCAGATTCTTGTCCAACGGTTATATTATACCTATTCCTAATAGAAAATCGAAAATACTGTAAAATATGAATGTGTTTTCTGTAAAACTTTGATTAATGCCGAAAAAGCCACTTGGATCTCAAGCGAGAATTGTTCGTAAAATACGCGAAGAAGAAAAATTTACTAAAAACCAGTTGGAGTGAGTCATTTTTAAAAATGAAATATTGATTGACATAAAAGATTTGATACTTGTCTTTTTATCAGAATGAAAGAAATCAATTTATTTTGAGTTTGAAATTATAGGGATTATAATAAAAATAAATTGTAAAATAATATTAAATATTTTAACATAATAAATGCTAATATATTAACAGTTATAAAAATCGTTATTCCGATTGCCTTGGTATTGCACACTGAACATTTTAAAGTCCCTATTTGCCACGAAATTCTGAAAGACGTATATTCAAAGACAGATATATTTCCTTTGCAGTGTAGTGATGACAAAGTTCACATTAATCAACATACCAATACGAAGAAATATCGTGATGCAGGTGCCGATATAGAAGAACAAACGGCTGTCGACCGAAAAAAAGTAGGTGAAGATAGCCAACGTAACTCTAGCTATGAGGTCACATATAGCACCGACCATTACGCATGTAGTTACTTCCATCTGCAAACCCCAGGATTATAATTCTTTATTACCTGTATATGCACAATCACGATAACATTTGAAGGACACAAAGAAATGAGTAGCATGCATTATTAAGTAGCTAAATGAGGTTTAGGTTGAGGTTGCATTGTTTTTCTAACCTATATTGATTAGAATATTATATTTTTACTTAATAAAATATATTTAAAACATCACAACATCATTATGTAAATAGTATAGTGTAATAGTTACTAATCCCGCAAAAAACGCCTTGTCAAAAGCTGATAGCAACGTTAAAAAATGTGTCATTACTTTAGGAGTTCAAGTTTTCTTTTATTTCAAGCGACCTACCTACCTACATTTTGTAATTTGAATGACGTTCACTGTAGTCCAAGATCCCAGAGCGATAAGACACAACTTATTTTCACATAAATGAAACCTCATGTTCTCAGTAGTGTCTTATGTGCTCAGAATACCTGCGCGCTTGTGGAGCTTGCCGAGTGACACCTGGGCAGGTACCAGGTGTGAAAGGTAACTAAAATTAATAGTTACCTAACTTAAATTTTCATAGCTGATTTTTAAATATATTTTGTAGAGTGTTATTATAAAGTTATACCATAAGCGTCAGACACTTTTCGTGGGCCAGTACTTTTGTCAGACGCTTTAAAGCTCTACAAAAAATAAATTAACTTAACTTATTTTTACATGTCTGACATTTAAATATGTTGTTCAGACAATTGTTACGAAGTTATATTTAATTAGTCAGACAAAATTGATTGACCAAACACCCCCTAAACAGCAAAATTATTCTGCCGTGAGTATGAGCGCGAAAGCATTATGCGCATGCGTCTTAGAGTAAATATATGAAAAATACTTACGGTACAGCTTCCGATATAAAATTTTTGCATCTCTATTTCAATATTAACGTAATAATTAGTCAGTATGAAAGTAAATTAATTCATTTAATATTTCTGGTATAATTAATCTGTTCAGAGCTATTTTTTCTTTTTTTTTTTTTTTTTTCAATACCTTGATCGACATTTGGCTCAGATATTACAAAAGGTTCAAGAGTAGCACTAGCTGAAATTGAGTTGGACACTAAATCTGAATCGGCAACAGTAGAATTATTTTGTTCAGTTGAGGTAGATGCTGTGGATGGATCACTATTAGTACTTGTACTACTAGGTAAAATTGATGTCGATGCAACAAATGGTTTGTCAACAATGCTCGGAGAACTTTTATTTTTACTGATTTTAGTTTTTTCTGGAATCTCAGAATAATATTTTTTGGGCAGAGCAGTAAAATTTTTATAGCATTCCCGATGATAACCTTTATCATATAAATCTTCAGGTAAAACTACGTCTTTAAATTTTAGGTTATGTGTCACTCGCTGTTGTAAAATAATTTTACACTTTTTTAATGTTATCTCGGTAAATAATATTAATTTATCACTAGATTTTTCACAAAATGTACACGTTAATTTTGCTGGTTCTATTTCTTCCATGATTTTCACGTTAATAAGTAATGTAAATAACTCACAAATCACACGACGTAAACAACAAAAACATGTGGTCTCACAGATCCAAACTATACTGTATACTATTAGGTTGAACCCAAAGGACACATACACAATACACAGAAGAATTACACGAATGAGAGAAGGGGAACTGAGTTAGTAAGACCGTCTAACTCGCTCCGAAACGCACCTATAATGCTTTCGCGCTCATACTCACGGCAGAATAATTTTGCTGTTTAGGGGGTGTTTGGTCAATCAATTTTGTCTGACTAATTAAATATAACTTCGTAACAATTGTCTGAACAACATATTTAAATGTCAGACATGTAAAAATAAGTTAAGTTAATTTATTTTTTGTAGAGCTTTAAAGCGTCTGACAAAAGTACTGGCCCACGAAAAGTGTCTGACGCTTATGGTATAACTTTATAATAACACTCTACAAAATATATTTAAAAATATATTTTGTAGAGTAAAAAAATTTAAGTTAGGTAACTATTAATTTTAGTTACCTTTCACACCTGGTACCTGCCCAGGTGTCATTCGGCAAGCTCCACAAGCGCGCAGGTATTCTGAGCACATAAGACACTACTGAGAACATGAGGTTTCATTTATGTGAAAATAAGTTGTGTCTTATCGCTCTGGGATCTTACTCTACTGGGGCTTGTTGTATTTGCAATATTCCGTACCCGTTTCTATGAAAAATATTAAGATATGGATCCTGTTTAACGCTTTACCTTTTCTTAACCTTAAATTATGCAATAAGATCGCCCAAATTATAAAATAAATTTCAGTCTACCTCGGTAGGCAAACAATTATGGAAAAAAATAGTTTGACTCCATTTTGTTATTTATAGTTGCTGCTATGTACTAACTTTGAACTTTTATGTTACATGAAATATAATATATACGTACGGTAAAAACCGTTCCATCCAGGTAGCACTGGCTACAGGCTGAGTAGACGATTCAAGGTACGTGTACATTATGTAGGTAAACATATTACGTGATCCTGTTACTCTTGCACTTGGGCATTATTATGTACCGAATATTTAAAATATATAGATTATCTACAAAAGAGTTTGTATTTATTTGTTTCTATATTTTTTGTGACATCTTACCTGGCTAAAACCATAAGAAAATAAAAGCATAGGTTCCATGGCTAAGTACGTGACATCAGAGACGAATGCAAAACCGAGTCCCACTAATGTACTTAAAAATTTGGGATCCTTCAATAGATCCAGTTCCACATTTTCATATATTATCTTCCTGAAATACAAACAATGGGTACAGCAAAAATAATCACTAAGGGGCATTGTACACATTTAGTAATTAATAGCTGCGCGATGCACGATGTTAACCGTGGTTTATCGAAATATATTTCAATTCCCTGTTTTTTCTACGGGAACACTACATTGTTTTGGGAAACAAAGTAGCCTATGTGTTAATCCATAACAAAGTTTATCAAAATTGGTTCAGCCGTTTGAGCATGAAAAAGTAACAACATACAAATTTACGCCATTTGTACATGGTCATACTTTTGTATCATGTACTAAACTATTGTACAATAAAGTTTTACAATAAACTTTCGCCTTTGTAATGTTAGTGTTATGATTGAAAATGTCGAGTCTTTTTACAGCAGTAAGAAAGATAATACAATCGGTGCTACTCGTTTTGATATAAATCTAATCTGTAACCTTTTTTGATATTTTGTTTGAATAGACCTAACTTTTTTTTCAAATTTTAACTTCAACCTTATCTTGTAAATATGTAGTTACATTTTTTGTTCTCCAAAAACCGGGTTGATGGTTTGACTCGGGGATCGAGTCGCCGTACATTTTGTCTTATTTAAACTATTATAGATACATTCAACAATAACTTATTAAAATAAATCCAAATTTTTTTTTTTTACGATTTTTCTTAAATAAAGCTTTGTCTGTTTCTTCCCTAATGTCCAACAGCAGACTATTAAGACTAAGACTATTAAGGCTCATGTTTTTTAAAGATCTGTCACCATAATAATTGTGCATTCTTGGAACAGTACGAGTATATCTGCCGTAGGTCACCGAGTGAGAGTTACATTCTGTATTTACTTTCTTCAAGTTATTCTCATGACTGCCATGATTATTTACTTATAGTTGGTACTTATGTTTTAAAGTAACTGGCATTATTTTCAAATTTGATACAATTTAGTGTAATCTTTTTTTTTTATTTTTCTATAACGTTTTGTGAATGATTAATTTTATGGAGTTAATTTAAATTGCATCTAGTTATCAATGTATGTTTTAAATATGAGACTATAGCAGAGCCACACGTTTCATTGTTACCTCCCGGACAACGTAGTCTAAAAATTGATAGACTGGCCACTTCTTTAACAACAAGCAATCCTACTGATGTGCGGGAAGTTTATTTTTTCGGCAAATTAAATGGTTACCTAATTTCAAAGGAAGAACATTAGCAGCACATTATTAAAAAGACAAAGCATTGAACTGTTAGAATTTTTAATACTCACGCTATATTTTTTTTAATTGACTCGTGTTTTCGTTGTTTGACAATATTTATTTCTGGGTCTCCCTCACTATGACGGAGCATTTTCATTGAAACCTCTCCTTCTGTATTATTTTTATTAATAGCACTGTCAGTGTTTATATTTAAAAATAAGCATGTAGCGGTTTCTGTAATAAGAAAGTAAATATTTTCAAGTTTCAAAAAAGTTCGTTAAAAAAATAATTAAAAAAACAATAAGAAGTAGATTCTTACCACTATTTAAAGCATTAGGAGAAGCAATCATATGCCATTCAACTGGATGCATGACTAGCATAGCGAAAACTAAATGTAAATCTATGGCCATGATTAACGCTAGGGTCCACCTAAATCCATACTCTGAAAGTAGCACAGTCACCAACATAGGAAAAGTAATGGAAGCCAAACTGCTCATGGCTTGATTAGCACTCATCATAGCTGTACGTTTTGACGTAAAGTAACAATTAAAAGTTGTAAAGCTAACTGGTATCATGACGCCAAAGCCAGCACCTAAAAAATAAAGATAGCATTATTTTTACACAGTGGCTTTGAAGAAATTTAAAACATTTTTGCTCTGGAAGCGAACAAATAACACTCTCTTCACTTAGGCCGCATGAGGATACGTAGTTTGAATACCACGAGTAATATACGAGCATAAACATAATATATTGTACATCAGCTTTTGAGGTGATAATATTTGCTTATAGACACTACCTACACCCACCTACAATTAATTTACCCCATAAAATTGCACGTAAACGCAGTGTGTACAGTACAGTACCCTCAAAAATAAAATTACGTTAACAAAGTTTTTGTAAAACCGTTTGTACCTCAATTTGCCCAAAGTATTCAAGGACTTAACTTTTATTGATTCATAATAATTTATTTATCTATGTCATTATTGAATAATAGCTGTACACCCGTTTAAACTGGTGCAGTTACTCGATGGAGAACGGTTCAAATTTATATAACAATTACAAAATTTTGAACTAGATATGTACTTGCAATTTAAAAATTACTGTAAATACTATGTATGATTGCTATAGCTGTTGATTAGAATATTTTAGCATAAAGAATGAACATTAATGAGATGTATATTTGTTAAGTCGAGTCCCCGCGCGAATCACTTTCATTCTCGTTTATACGCTTCTACAGTGTAGATACGTATTAATGTAAAATAGGATTATTCTACACACGACTTCAGATCATTGCACATTGCAATGATTATTTGTTTACTAGGTACCAACATTATTATTTAAATATTATCATTAAAAACAACGTTTTATTTTTATTACCTCTTATTAGTCCAAAAGTAAATACAAGTTGATAGGTTTTTTGGACAAATATTGTCAAAATGTCTCCGAGGGCAAACAGACCGGCACCCACTAAACCCACTTGTCGAAATGAATATTTCTTTAAAGCAATTCCTCCGAGGAAACCTGAAAATGAAATGATATTTGTGAGAGACGTCTCACATGTGTCAAGTTTCTCTTATTGACTGAGAAAAGTGTCCAGGGTACGCCATGGGAAAGTAGTACTTTCCTGTGTTTTTTACCTCATTTGGTCTATTTTTGTACTTCTAAATTGTGCCAACATCAATTTTTTACCTATAGTTTTTAACTATATAAGTTTTTGCAAAGTGTTTTAATTTGATCAACATGACGGTAAAAATGAAATACTAAATATTTTACGAAATTTACATTCAACAGTAATGACATTAATATATTCTACATTCTTATTTTTGATGGATTTCAAGAAAAAGAAATAGGTTTTTAGAGATCCGAGATCTCTTATTTTAACAATTATTCGAAGATGGCTGAACCGATTTGGATTTTTTTCTGTTGAAAGGTCCAATGCCTAGCTGGCCACAGGTCATTTGTCATCCTGAAGAAATTAAGGGAGTGCGACAAATTTTATAAGCAGTTCTATAGCTATAAAGATTGTTCAATTCTATTCGCTTTGCGTAGTTTTTAAAGTAACTCAATTATTTGCTCTTGAAAAGCACCATTTGTAAAAAGTATAACTAATGATGAAATTGCGTCATCATTAGTTATACTTTTTACAAATGCCGCCCTTCTGCATACTTTTTGGTATCCATTTCTATGTTTGTTTTCACAACTTTTTAACAGAAGATTGATCGAAACATAGCGACCTCATTGTTTTAAAGTAGAGCACGCGGAAGACGACTGTTTCGGTCAGTATATTTACAAATTCATGTTAGACATCATCAGTGACAATCTGCTTTTGAAGCTATTCACTAGTGTACCGATATTTATCAGTTTCTTCGCAAGCAGATTCGCCGTTGAGCAACTATTTAGTGAAGTTGGTCTTTAATTTTAAGTGTACTGAAACTTATACTTCCGTTTTTGCTTCCGTTTCCATTTCCGCAAAAAATAAGTTCTTAAATCAGCTTCGGTTATTATACTTCCTCTGCAGTTTTTTTTTCGAATGTAGGAAACCTAACATCTTGGACCGCTGTGAACCAGTTTCAACAATTTTTTTATTGAATTAGTTTTACTCTGTCTGGAAAATTTCCTTGATGATCGGATGATCTGAATGGTTGCGTATAAGATAAGACCAAAAACCTTGATTTTTATTTATCAAAGTTTAACTGTCAAGATCGTATATTACGTTCCAATATGAATACCTACTTAGAACGAGTTTAAAATTTTTAAACTCATTAAAACTTGGACTCACTTACTGTCTATTATTATAATTCTTACCTCCTGCATTTGATCTATGGAATCAGGTTTGTCTATTTATTTAAAAAAAAATGAGTACTTTTAATGAGGTCAGAAGAGCAACAGCCATAATATGACAAACAGTCTTGCCTTTCTGTCTCCCTTTGCATCATTCAAATGTAGAACTTTTGGATTAAAGTAGATGTTGTACAAACGAGACCTTGGCGTAGGTCATAGATCCCGGCACAAAAGGTAAAGATAAAAAAACTGGTCTTGGCCACATACTTAAATTAATATAGATGATATTTGCAGACAGACTATTTATAATTTTAGACTGACAAAAACTTGACGTTGTAAAGTAAAATTTGCAGATTTGTGTCTATCAAATCAAAATACCAATAACACCATCATCTGTATATGTACATACATATAAAACTCTATTGCTACGTGTGTCGGAGCTTGGTCACTTACAAATGGCTTGACAGAGTTTGCTAACTTTTTTAGAAGAAAAGATGATTTTAAATAGTATTCTTTGTAATGAGTCCCAGCTTCAGAGTACTACTGACACATGACACATTCCTATAGGTATACTTGAATGGACCTAGTAGTTAGTGCAATCGACTGAGACGCGCCCGAATGGACCTAAATTACTTTCTAACCCAATCTTTTTAATTCCTATCAGTTGTTTGAATAAAATTCATGTGACGTTTAATAATCGATCCAAGATTTTATATACCATTCGCAGAATAGACAAGTAAATAGGCAGGGGAATAGAAGAAAATCCATATTTGACTGATTCAAAATTACTCTCTAAGGTCCAATACAAAATAATAATAACTTGAGACATCTCACACAGCCGTCTAATTACAAATCAAGCAGTGTCTGTATTATGGTAATCACACTGCTAATCAACGAGCTCATATATATTTCTAAATACATACATATTATAGATAAATTACACCTAGAAACAAAATAAATAATCGTGCTTCATCACACAATTATTTGTTCTGGGTGGGAATAATTTACTCACGACCTCTCAGCTTAGCATTTGAGATAGCTAACCACCAGACCAATAACCCAGTCTATAATGACAGATCAGCCATTCGATCCTACCGCAATATGTCACGGAAGTGGTATTATTTCGCTTGGTTAATAATGGGATACAGTGTAAGTGGAAATCGAAAGCCACTTAGGTAGCTAAATATAAATAATTTATGAAATCTTTAAGTCAGCCTATAAATTGTAGATGATGAAATCTATAAATCATTTGATGCTTTTCTAATGTAGTATTGTCGTCTAACGGAAACATTAGCATGTTCAAAAATCAGAGCACGCTTAACATAATGTCCTATTTGACAGCTCACCTATCATCTGACAGCACCTCACGCTTCCTTTACCAGGCATTCGTCTCGTTTGACGTAAACCACTACCACATTTTTTATTTTGTTTATTAAATGCACAAAACACATTACAAGCAATTAAAATATAAATCATAAATAATAATAATAATAAATACATCGTTAAGATCTTGTTCGTAACGTCACTCATATGTGCACAAAGAAAAACAATAAAGATTATACAAAAAATATCTCATAATACTGTAAGTAACAAAGTAAGCAAGCAGCTAATGTGATGTAGATTTGGATGCTTATCCTAATCCAACTCACTATGGAGGATGTCTTTTACTAATTTAGTATATCTGTTGTAGTTACGTTCAAAAAACGTCTAGTAATTTATTGATTTTTGAGATATCGTTACATTGACGGGCCATTCTTGTTAATGGATTATAGTCAGAAATGTTATATATATTTGAAGAGCAAACATATTCGTATCATTAACCCTACGGATTTGAGAAAGTTTGCACAAAAGCGAGAAGAAAGATGTTAAGAGTTAATCGATTTCTTTATCTGTGTATTCTGTGTCTGTGCATTGTAAGGGCTTTGTAAGCTAAGAATGCAGTACAGGATCTACATTTCACTTGCGATAATGTTGATCCGACGTTAATAGTGACAGTAAAGCGTAGCGTAGAAAGCCTATTACTCGACTGTGGATTACATAGAAGTAAGGAATGCTTGGGATTAATTTAGCACAGGATATTTCTCAAGTGAAAGTATAGTGTGGACTAGTGTTTTTTTAACACACACAACACGCTTCTATTAGCTCGGTATGTATGTTTCTATGTAATGAAATCTTCGATCGTGATTTTGACCCACTTCAAAACGTCAAATTAACTTGAAATTTCGCACACTTATCACGGACCAGTGACAATTCAATAATCTGATAAATTTGGGCGATTATCCTGATCAGGATCTGCAGGATTAACGGCTTTTTACATACCTAAAAAAACGGTAGTGTCTTTTGCAACGAACTAAGAGGCGTGGGCTGAAGCATATGTGACTTATTACTTTTATAGTCTTAATGGGAAAATAATCTTCATTAATGGTAGAAAATATTTTTTGTCGTTAATCGTAAATAAGCGTGGGGTGCTTTAAATATAAAAAGTAAGTACTAGGTACTTACTGTAAAAAGTAAGTACTACGTACTTACTTTTTTCAACCCACATTTTATTTCGGAATCGTAACAAACTTCTTGATTTATTCTTTTTTATTAGAATGGAATGGAGATTTTTTACAGCCTAAGCAAATTACCTTTAATAACTAGTGAAACATTCTGTTTTTTATTAACGTCACATAATATGATAGGGATCGGACATAATATATATATTTAAGTAAATATATTAATAAATATTAAAGTCACAATTATGACGTCATATAAAAGGCAGATTTTAGATCGGTACTAAGTCATAATGATGTCATACTATATGACATCATATAAAAGTCATCAACAAAGTCGTCTTTATGTCATATCAGTGATGACCTATCCATGACGTCATATGGAGGTCATATGTTATCTTGGCAGAATTGTCAATGTTAATATTTAGGAAATGGAAGTGATCAAACCAAAAATATATGGCATTACTTCACATTACATGCCGTTCAAGTTGTATGTAACCTATTAGTCATGGTAACGATAAAAAAAATCAATTAAATTATTTTAAAGCTAAGTATGATGTTATATCCGACGAGTTAAGCAGTGTGAACTAGAGCGAGAGATTGTAAGCGAGTGTAGACGCAAACGCAGCGGTTTTAGTATTATATGAGGTCATTAATGTCTCGATCGAGTAATATGTTCCTAAGCGTAATAGTTTAAGTACCCTTCGTGCTATAGTTATGCATTTATTGATACTCGTAGGTTGAAAGGAAAAAGAGAAACTAGGGCTAAAATACCGCTAAAATAAGAGTCTCATAGACTTAATAGCTTTTCAAACTATGCGAGATTACTGCAATAATTCATACCGAACCTGTTACTTACATTATAAGAACAACATTGAATTCAATATTACAAAGAACCCGATAGCATTTTGGAGATACATAAAAGAAAAGAACAAAAATTCATCTTCAGTTCAATCTTACATGTATAGGGAGGATAATACTGCCGAAACTGGAACCGCAATTGTAAATCTATTTGCATGCCAATTTTCATCCACATACAGCCTTGAAGATGACAAGCCTTTCGGTTTAGCTTACCTCGATCCGTTTTCTTATGCATGCATTACCAAGATTAATATTACTGAACGTGACGTGGTGACTAAAATAAAAAAAAAACTGAATATATTTAAAGGCTCAGGTCCAGATGGCATTCCAGCTGTTTTTATTTACCGCTGTTGATAAGCTTTAGGTACCTGTCAACGTGTATACCACAGGACCTATCTAGGATCAGTTTTGTTTTCCATATTCATAAATGACATAACATCAGTCATCCTGAAATGTGAGTGTTTCTTTGTGCGGATGACTTAAAGCTGTACAGGCTCATTCAACAAAATCTAAATAGAATTGAGGAGTGGTGCAGTCTAACTTACCACGTGCTGCTTAATGTAGAAAAATGCTATCACCTTCCATTTTTCAAGAAAAAACACCTAACAATATCGAAGTACAAAATTGGCATTGCCGTACTACAGACAGTCTCTGAGACAAGGGATCTTGGTGTAACGATTGACGGGAAGCTTCATTTTACATCACACATCGATGCGGTCCTGAAGAAGGCGGCCCTAATGTTAGGCTTTTTAAAGCGCAACACGAGGGGATTCGGGCACGCTCAGACGACAATCACATTGATTCAATGCCTTGATTCGCAGTCATTTGGAATTCGGATGCGTAGTATGGGACCTCTTTTACGCCTCACATTCCCAGCGAATAGAAATTATTCAGCGTGTCAAGGCATAAAACACAGGTGCAGTTATGAACAGAGACTGGAGTATTTCAGAATGTACTCTCTATCCAACCGCCGCAAGTTACATGATATGCTCTTCTTACACAAAATAGCCAATAATAATATCGACTGCAGTGACTTATCAAACCGCCTAATGCTTGCAGTTCCTCGCAAGCCGAGTCGCTATCCTTTAACCAGAACTTTCTCCCTACCACTTTCAAGAACTAATTTATGACTAATCTCAAGAACTCACTAATCTCTAGGACAAATCTTTGGTGCGTGCATGCCGCGATTATAATATGCTAAATGGTAAAATTAACCAACTGAATATTTTTCACAATTCCTTTATTCACTTTTAGGATGTAAAACTGAAATCGTTTGCATTATTGCTACTTTGATTGTTTAAGCTTATCTGTGTGTAATTCCTAAGTACTATATATTATTAGGTCTTTACCTATAAAATTGCCTTTCTTCAATACTGGTCATTTCAAATAAAAAACAGTTTGTAGTGGCTCTGTATTCTAAGTTCAAATTAATTTTGTTTTAAAACCATGACATTCTATTTACAAACTCAGTCTTTTGTTTTTTGATTAGCGTTGTATTTTCATTACATTTGAACATTTTTCGTCATAATGGATACTTTAAAAATTCGTGTAATTATGGAATATGAGTTCCGTCGTGGCACCAACGCGACACAAACGGCACGTAACATCAAAAACGTTTACGGAGAGAACTGTACAAACGAACGCACAACCCGTTATTGGTTTTTTCCGGTTCCGTTCTGGAAATTTTGAGTTGAAAAATGAAGCTGGTGGTCGTCCGGAGACTTTGGTTAACAATAATGAATTAAAGGCGATTGTGGAAGCTGACGAAACTCAATCTACAGCTGAGCTAGCAGCAGCTTTTGATGTAAGCATCAAAACAATATTGATCCATTTGCGACAAATTGGCAAGGTAAAAAAGCTAGATAGATGGGTGCCCCACGACCTTAACGATCGCCAGCGCAACGTACGCGTCGAGACCTGCCTTGCGCTGCTCAACAAGCAAAGAAATGAGGAATTTTGAAACGAATTGTTACCTGCGACGAAAAATGGATTCTGTTCGACAATCGAAAGCGCTCAGCAAGTTAGTTAGACCCTGGTTCAGTACCAAAGCAATGCCCTAAACCAAAAATGACCCCTAAAAAGGTGATGGTCACTGTTTGGTGGTCTAGTGCGGGTGTGATTCACCACAGCTTTTTACAAAACGGCATGAGCATTAATGCAGATGTGTACTGTGAAGAACTGGAGAGAATGATGGAGAAGCTTGCACATCTGCAACCAGCTTTGGTCAATCGGTCGTCCCCACTGCTCCTTCACGACAACGCGCGACCCCATACTGCGCATCAGACAGTCTCCAAGCTGCAAGAGCTTGGAGCTTGGAGTTGGAAGCTCTCCCTCATCCGCCATACTCACCAAACCTTGCACCATTACTTGACTATTACTTTTTCCAAAATTTAGACAACTTTTTAGTGGGTTAAAAATTCAATTCCCGAGAGGCAGTACAAAATGCCTTTAAAGAGTTTGTTGCCTCCCGTCCAGCTGATTTTTGCAAGAAGGGCATCAATAAACTGCCAATGCGTTGGCAAAGATGCGTCGATTGCATGGGTGATTACTTCGAATAACAGAATTAAAAATTTTAAAAAAATAAGTACTTTCACTTATTGCATACAAAACGGCAATTTCATAGGGAAAGACCTATTATTTTTGTTAATTTTCGTTCACTTGCTACTATTTGAATGTGCGTCTATCTAGTGATGTATACTGTGCATGCCTGTAATTGGTAATAAATAAGAACTATCCTTTTCTTTTATAGAACTGTATTTTGAACAATGTTGTGTATGATACTGTTGGCGTGTCTATAATAAATAAATAATAATAATAATAACAAAATTTGTATGCGAACATAAAGCTTTATTTAATATTGATTATTGTCATAGAAACTGCAATAATTTTTGAAAAAATAAAGCAATGAAAAAACAGCTGATTACTGCTGTATAAAAGCAAAGCTATTACTTCACTATATGTATCTTTAGTTCAAATTTAAAATAAAGTTTCAATAGAATAAAATTTAGTACCCAATTTTTAAAAGTAAGCTTCTAATACATGGTGTATTTAGAGAGACACCTTAATTAACGTGTGGCAAATCAAGAGACGGTGGTACAGCATGTACATCTCTATACGATAATGGCATACATACGAGTACATTATATACTTACCAGCGCATGGTACGTATACAATGTATGAATGACATGTTTAATACAACAAGTAACAGGTTAGAGACTGATTTTTCAATGAGTTTATTCTTTTAGGTTCATGGTTAAATAAAAGTTTAAGATTCACAACAAAGAACAAAGTAAGTTATACAGGAACATTATAATGATTGTGACTTGATTGTATAAATATGATTTAAAAAGGTAGGTCATTGAATTATTATACGGATTCGATTTCTTTGCCTAATCTCCTCAATTAAATTGTACCTAGTTACATGGGTATCTGTCTTGTTCTACTTTGTTTATCTTTAACTAATAGTTAATTGAACCACAATAGAAATTTAACTAGTCATAATTAAAAACAGTTAAAAGCATTTGAAATTAGGTTCGCTTTATTGGATGAATTGTCGGCTGGATTAAACATGATTATGAGGTGGTCTTGATGTGTCATTACCCTCTTATAAATATATTTTATAATCGCCGAGATAGATTCATCACTCATGTGAATTATTTTGTGTTTATGTTTATTTTACGTTTATGTTTATACATAAACGTGAGATCATAAATAAACATATTTTTATAAAATGTATGTTTACGGTCGTATTTCATCGAATATGCCTAGATAAACAGGTTTTTTAGCCCTAGTGATAAAAATATTCTGACTCTCATTATTTTGTGCATGGGAATTCTTTCTTAAATAGGTATGAATTGTAGAAGGTGTAATTATAATACCATGAAACGCGAAACTTTCAAACTTAGTATATCAAATACCTGCTATGGAGAGTGCTCCATTATATACTCCAATCACGAGGGGTAGACCGCTACCTCCTCCTTGTTCTTCGAAGAAGTTATGGAATAAAATACCGAATGCATTTGAGGAACCAAATCCGAGCATCTGTAAGAAAAAGTTTAGCAATAAGTGTACACATTAGTTCTTATTTTGCACAAACAATTTGATTGCTTAAAACTTCCCTTCGCGGCACTTTGCGACTCACGTGTGACTTCGTATGCTAAAAATTAATTAATTAAATATGTTTTCTATGTTTTTCTGCGACTAGTTCCCGGTTTGCGAGTGGCTAAAGGTTGAGTGTTGTGTATTTAAAGAATATCAGTGAATTTTTACTGTTTTTAAATAGAAAACAGAAGTTTCTAAAAGTGGGTAGGAGGTATCGTTTGTTTGTATTGATTTTTCTTTGCGTGTTGTTTATTTTTAAGCTTGTTCTTTTTATGCCGGTTGTTAACGGATCCCGGCTGTACAAGTGAATTTCTAAAACCAACGTGAAAAAGGTTATTTAGCGAAATGTCACCTTTTTTTTTGACGGGGTGGAAAATCCCTTCGGATCTCCTGCTCCTCGGGGCTAGGAGCTAGGAGTATGTGGTGATTCCACTAAAAACCACCCCGACAGCCGGCCTCAGATGCCCTACTCTGGGAGGACCTGGACCATGTTATTTCAGGTCCTCCCCGAATTGACACCATGCCTAGTCAGGCCCTATCCCAGGGGAAAAACACTTCCCCCTCAATCGCGACGTGGCGGCCCAATTTCGTCTTAATGCAATCAGGCCGCCACCCTATCCCCTACCGCAGCATTCAATCTCTATCCCACTAGGGAATACTCTGTGGACTATGCGACCTCCTCAGCAACGAAAAAAGCTCATGAAGGCTATTAAACCGTTAGCTCATGAAGGCGTTAAAGAACCGCTAAGGCAGCGTCGTGTTACGTGTAGCTAACGAAAGGCAGCTTAAGAAACTGGAATCTGTAGACGCCATTAAATCAGTAAGGTAACGATTAAAAAAATCGAAAAGCCGAAGGCCCCGTAAAAGACATACCCGCTTCTATGGAAGATCGTGCCTTCCTAACGGCCTTATATCGTCTGAATATCAAGAACAATAAGTCAACCAAAATTCTTAGGCATCGTAAACTAGAAAATGGACGTCAAAGGATAGGCTTAGAATTAGAGGCAGCAGTTCGGAAATATCCAGCGAACACAAAAGATAAACTTTATATAGACTGGGCCACTAGACGACATAGAAGTAGTTCGTTGCTTAAATTGACAGTAATTCGTCATGTACAAAAGTATTGCACCATTAAAACTCCTACTTGTGCTAATTGCACCGCCGGACACGAAACGCGAGCTTGTCCAGATAAAGACACACCAGATTTTAAGCCAACTTGCGCACAATGCAGGCGGTTCAAAAAACCATCTGACCATCGATGCGGCTCACGCGACTGGACTGTCTTCCATATAGAATAAAACTAGATCAGCTAATCTTAAATACCAATTACTGAATAGTTTTTAGAGTACCTTCCAAAGTAATGTACTATAATTCAATAGGCCAGTTAAATCTTCATAACGATAAAATAGCCACATCAGATTTAGATTGTTTAATTATAGAACAAAAGTTAGACATTGTACATATACAAGAACAATATAAGAGCGCTCGCTTGCGTAGTAATGTAGTACAGCTAGAATGCCGGTCGCAGGTTGGGATATATGTTGCAAGTTCTAATTTTACGGTAACATCTTTGGGTAATCTAATGACGTCCAACTGCGGAGATCACATCCTCTACCAGTAGGGTTTACGTAGTGAGCTGCTATTTTCAATTTTCACATCCTATTGATCCTCACTTATATCACTTACGTTACGTCTTGCAGTCCCTCCTGGGACATAAAATTATCATTGGCACTGATGTCAATGCAACATTATAGTATAGCAAGTTGCGTTTAACCAATACTGTTCGACGTTCTGCTGTTGAAGATTTCATTCATTTCAAATGAATCAGGATCCGCAAAGAGCTCCCTATAATTTTAAATACAAAACAAAAGGTGCGAACTGGCCTTTTATTTGGTTATCTAGTTTGGTCTATCAGCAGAGGAAAGCGAAAAGAGAAATGCTATCAGAAACTTTCACATACTGCGCTGATGTGTCTATTGGTTGCGGATCTATCACTAACACTCGTAGATGTGATTGGTGTAATGATAAATTAGAAGAACTACGTAGAAACTACCGGAAAGCTCGAAGGAAATTAAAACAAAACTGCTGTGGAAAAATCCAAGAGAAACTTAATTCAGAAACTTTTTGATAAACTCGATAGAGAGAACCTGTGGTCACCTTTGTATCATGAATATAGGCCAAATAGATCAATCGACCTTGCATACATACAGAACATCAAAATTAATAACTGATATACCACAGGAGTAGAACAATCAGCAGAATGTCTTTTAGAATCACTCGTACCTGACGATCGGTCGGAAAATGAAACTGATCATCAGCGACAGGTCTGGCAGTGGGCCATCGAATAGGACCTGATTAGATAGACCTGAAAATGCTGATTGTTCTACTCCTGTGGTATATCAGTTATTAATTTTGATGTTCTGTCTGTATTTAATGTCTGACTTACCATATTCAGAAGAATTTTTTAGTATATCTAACAATACTTAGAAATTCGTCTGAAGATAGTTACCGTTAAACAAAGCTGGTAAACTTTTGGGTGACACATTGCGGAAGGTATATTTATTTGTATTTGGTGGTGCGGTAATATTCGTATACAAAAACAGTGAAGAAAAGCCGCCGGATGATCCTAAATCCTACCGACCCATCACATCGTTACCATTGTTAGGAAAGCTTTTAGAGCGTCTTTAGTGCCCCGGCTTCTGCCAGGTGGAGTCAAATTTCATGATAGACAATTTGGATTTACGTTGGTAAAATCGACAATTGATGCGGTTATATCCGATAGGAAGTTTGTCACAGAGTCAAAATTTCAATACGTGTTGGCTATTTTCTTAAATATATCTGGCGCATTCGAAAACGCATGGCCCATGCTGTTGCCGAAATTTAAATCACGGGGGTGATTTAAAAATATTTGTCCTCTTATCTCTTCGTACTTTTCACAAGGTACAACTAAAATAAGACTTGGTCATCATTCTGTGTCGAAGTCGCTTACAATGGGCAGTCCTCAGGGATCAGTGCCCACACTTGTGGAATATCGGCTTCGACGATTTTCTTACGATATCATCCGGATGTACTCTGAACGCGTATGCTCATGACGGTTTATTACTGCTGAAATCTGATACTAAGGGGGGGGGGGGGGGGCTTGAGAAATAAATCAATAGATGTTTGGACTTGATATCTCATTAGGGTGAACATAATCGCTTAACTTTTGAACCCAACAAAACTTTCCAGTTACTTTTAAAAGGTAACCCCAAATCACCGCCGCCAAATAAATTTGACAATGTCACTGTAAAAGATACAAACTCAGTGTGTTTTTATGGATTAGTGTTAGAAAGAAACTTTTCATTTGAAGCAAATGAAGAATGAACAAGAGAAGAAGTGAAGATGAGACTGGAGTCAATCCATAAGCCAAGATCTTTGAAAAATGGACTGATTGGTATGTCGGATCCGTTATATACGATCGCCGTCAGTTTTGATGTGTATAATCTGCTTATAATTCTGGGGCTACCTATGCTTATGGACTGACACTTGGAGGGATTCACACTTACGCCGAAACATTCAGACCAGTTTTTGATTGCCTCAAAATCACTGTTAATGTTTTGAATTGCTTCTACTAGATTGTCGAGGCTGGTCTGTACGTAGATTTGAAGGTCATCCACATACAAATGATACGCACAGCGCAGATCGAGAGTAATGAGATTGATAAACATCAAGAATAAGAGAGGAGATAAAGTGCCACCTGGAACGCCAGCAGCAAGACCACACCAACTTGATGATGCTTTATCAATGTGGACCGACTGCCGACGTCCACGAAGATAAGATGAAAACCGTTCCAGTGCTTCGGTGGAGACCATGTAATGAGTGAGGAGAGATATGAGGATATCGTGGTTGACTGTGTTTAACGGCGTTGGAAAAGTCAATCAGGATTAGAACAGTAACTTTTGCGTCTGCCAAACTATTCCTTATATCACTGGTTAATAATTAAGCGTAGCTGTAACTGTGCTATGTTCAGGTCTGAATCCTGATTCAAGTGGGCTGAGAAGCAACACCCATCAAAACAACTCTCTAAATTTATCTAACTTAGAGAGTTGATTATGAATACACTCTCCTAGTACTTTGGATAGGAAAGGGAGAATTGAAATAGGCCGGAAATGGCTTGGCAGGGAAGGATTAGTAATCTTTGGAAGTGGGCGAACGTATGCGCTGAGCTAGTAAAGCGCACGTAGAACGTAGGCTAAAGATATTTTGAATAAAATCCCTAATGTACCTGGGGCTAAACAGAAACTCCCATCATCGGATAATATGTCATCGTCGTTGATTGAGTGATATGAAACATCGCCGTTAGACATAAATAAAAAAAAAAGTATACTATTCATCATCATCATCAACAACCTTTAATAGTCCACTGCTGGACATAAGCCTCTTCTTAGAAAGGAGGTTTACTAAGTATACTTATTATGACTTTATAAATTTAAATACTCTAAATAATGTATACTAAAATTACAAAAATATGACTATAAAGTCAAAAAGTTAAAATTATACCACTATCAGTTCAACATTACACACACACACACACACACACACACACACACACACACACACACACACACACACACACACAGGCACTACAATAAAAACAATCAAGACACTATAAATATTAGAACAAAATTAATCAGGGCACATTTTAAAAGAAGGTAAAAAAACAAAAGTAATATTAAGGCAATAATAATAGGTACTTAATAAAAGTAAAACTTAGAGCGTCACCCTTTAATCTTTGCTGCTTCGGAACGCAACTAGTATGCGAGTGACATGAGAGTTATGTTATGTCAACATGACAGAAACTCAAGTTATTGTACAAGGTCAAGATGCATATATTTTTAAATATGATTAACTCGGGAAATGTTTTATATGTTACACCAAAACAGGCCAAAGGTGTTATAAAC